TAGCCTTCATGTATTTAAAATTCAAATTTGATTTTAGGTTATTTTCTGCTCCAAGGTTTCTTTCCTACGTATTTGTAAATACTCAAAATTAGAGCTGGCCAAAATTTTTCAGCAAAAACCAAAATTTTGAGAATTTGTTTTGATTTCACCAAATTGTTTGGAGGGTGGGGTCAGGGGGTAGAGGGGATTCCAAAAGATTCAAAACATTTTCAGAATGAAACATTTTGATTTTCTGGTTTGAAACCACTTTCTATTTAAAATTTCTCAACAATGTAACTAAAAAAAAATCAAGTGTTTAATAATCAAGTTAAATAAAATGTTTCAATTTTGACAAAATATTTTGTTCAACAACAAATTTTTGACTTTTTAAAATTGCAAACTAACAAAAAATGGCTATTTGCCCAGCTCTACCTGAAATGCACTGAGCAAAATTAGGAAGATCTTTGCCAAGAGCAAGGATATTGGGTGTTACTACAGTAATATTTTTCATGGGATTTATATTTTATTCCATGTAATATGTTATTCAGTGTGAAGAAGAATGAGAGAAAGTCCACTTTTTGATTATAGGAAAATATTCTTTCAGAAATTTGTCATCTGGGCTGTCTTTTGTTACATTAAGTCTGCTTATCAAATTCAGTTCACATCTCATGGGTCAGTTTCACTGAATCAGCCGCATACTTTAGAAGCCTGATTAAAAGCAAGGTACATCTGTAGAGATATTGTGTTGGTGTCTAATAACAGAAGTTTCTATCCAAAACACTAGAGAAAATTTCACACTGGTGAAAATTTGAAGAGGACATTATACAAAAAAAGTTAACTTGAAACACTATTGCCTTGGTACTTTGTGAAAATATTTGGTTAAACATGCACATTTTCTCTTTGCATCCATCTCATACTGTACTGATTCTGCAGTAAGAGAGCATGGTATTGACAGCCTCAACACAGAAATAACTGTTTGCAAGATAAAGTGCACTAGGCTGCATAGAATCTGAGTTTTAGTGACTTAAAACAGATCCATCAGATTAAATCTTGCAGCACTATTGTACTTTTCATTTACACGCATTAATTTTTACTATTTTGGTGTTGCATACCTTACAGCTTCAATAGTTTATGGTTTCATTATCAAATTCAACAGTTTGCAATTTGTCAGGATAGGTATTTAGATGGTCCACTCTGCTTACATTTCTGCTACGTTATTTAGGAAGTTACATACTTCTAATGTTTTCCATTTCAGTATTAACCACAACTTCAAACAACACTAGTAGTATTAACCCTATAACCAGTTACAGCAAGCTGCATTTAGTATTAGTGATATTTAACTTTGTCCATTAAGTTAGGTAGTCACAATTTATCTAGCAATCATGAAAAACTATAGTGACACCACTGTATTACACGAGGTGATTGAGGAAAATCTGCTAGTAAGAGGTCTAGCAATTCAGCCTAGTGTAGACAATGGATAGAGAAGCTGATCAGAGAGAAAACGTTATAAAACAAGTCAATTAGGTAAGTGCAAGCTAGGCTAGCAAAGTTACAAAAGGTGATGTGATAGGTAGTAGATGTATAAAGTCAATGTATTAAGTCAATGTATTTAAATGGTTTCTCTATTGTACACATTCTCATTTAAGCTTTTTTTGTTACTGAAGCTTACCTAATAAAGATCCACAGTTAGGTGCCGAGCACCAGTACCTTTTACTGGTAATATTAAAGGCTAACATTTTCTTTAAAAAACTCTTAAATTCATCTATCAAAAACAGTCACAGAAAGTGAAATACATGAACAAAACTACTCCACTTTGTGAACGCTGCTAAAGCCAAGCAAGGATAATATATAGCTTAACATCAAATGGAAAGAGTTACGCAAATTAAAGGGCCACAGCTAACTTAAAAAAAATTCATATTTCTGTCTGAAAACTTAACTACAGTAGGTGCAAATTAACCCTTAGATTATTATTTAGATTAGGAAAAATATTTTTCCTTTAGTCAGGCCAACTGTTCCCCTGTATAGTAAGATAGTTTCTCCTTTGTTAACAAGATCCTTAAAAAATGAGGGAGCATAAAAACCCTTGTAAAAACACTAACAGGGGTTTATAAATTCAGGATATGTTTAAAAGCGCCTCTATTAGAAACTGGAACTTTTAAAAAAAAATTAGGTTAAGTGTCTCTTTAAGATCCAAACGTGAAATTATGTGACCTAATACATCTGTGCAAGTGGTAACTCAAACATTGTCATCATCTGTTCATGAGTTGGTAACAATGCAATGCAAAATACATATAGTGAATTGAGATATTTGTATTATGGTCCAAACAGGTGATGCAAGGAAATACGCAGCAGTTTTTCTCAAGTTTAATTTGAGAACAAACATTCAGCCATCAGTCCAATCCAGGAAGTCTGCTGATGGTGAACTCTGGCCAACTTCAAAAGATGTCAGATATAACAAGTGGCCTAACCATTTAGATAAACAATTCAGAAGTTGGATGGTTTAACCAGATTGAATCTCAATAAGTTTGAGACATGTCTTGTCATTAGTATTTATAAAATGAGCACATTTGTTCTATAGCTCAAGTACTAGAAACAACAGGAATCTGAACAAATATTTTAGAATCTTGCCAATCCAATGGCGGGAGTGGCGGATAACTTAGTGGAAGAGACAGCCTGATATAATTTCCCAAATGCTTCATTAAAAAATGTTTGAATTTATGCTTCATGTAAAATCTTCTCTAATATCTATTAGATCTTATTTATTTGTAAATCATCCTGTCTTCTGAACCCAAGAGTAGATCTAGCTACTCTATTTTAGACAGCTAAACTAGACTGGTTGAGATATTCAAGTAGTCTCATCAGTGTAAAAAATTTTTCCTAAGCATTTCATTTAAAAATTAGATGAGTAAGAGTATGCAACTGTCTCCAGTGTTTCAACAATTGAGTATTCTTACTTTTATCTTCCTGAATTATTCCCATGTCATTAAAATGTACATGTTGCAAAGATGTTTATTTTCAGAAGAGCTGTTTAACAGTGGATCTTCCCATTGCTGATGTCAGTTGACAGGATGGCAATATGTATTGCTTATAAGCCAATGTGAACTTCAAGGACCAGTTCAGTCCCAGAAGTGAATTCCAGTGCAGTTAAATAATCTGAAATTTTAGTCTAATTTATGAAAAAGTTCTAGTCTGATAGTGGTGTTACAATGGGAACTAGGGACTTCAGCAGCACAGGATCTAGCAGAACAAATCAATTTAACACAGTCACCTATTTTTATAAAGGACACTGAAAAAAGTTCAGAAAAGATTGTTTAATCATGAGAGTGAATATTTGCATGTACCAGAAGCCATTCTCTTCTGCTAAGTCTACCACACATGGAACAGTGTGAAGTATCTGGTAAACTTTGTTTAGAAGTTATCAACTTATAATATCTAGAAGAGTAAGGGTGTTTCTGAGGTCAAAGAAATCTGGTCTGGAATCAAAGATCTAAGGACAAGACAGACCAGGCACAAATGAAAACAATGCAGATGCTCAAAAGACAACGAAAAGCACTTGTTCTTCATAGCATAACCAGCCAATGAGAGTCATGGCATCAACTCAATTGCCCACTTAGTTTTAAAAAAAAAAAAAAAACAACAGTGAGCATAGCTGACTCACCCAGGGCCTGTAATGTTTTATGGATGAATATCACTGCTGTATTAATTATCATCAATAGCCATGGCAAAGGATGGATATGGATTTTTTTTTCGCACCTGGGAGGGTAAGTTTCCACAAAAACTTTGTAAGGCTGACCTAACTGAAACCAGAATGAAGGAAAGCAGAAAAACAGGTGAATGCACGTAGGTGTATAAGAGGGCAACACATGGAAATAGACTAAAGATTGGCAGTGTGTGTTGAATTGGAACATTTCAAAGTTTCATTACTAGGACTGCATTTAAAAATGTGTTTAGGGTGACTTGGAAGTCTAGTGGCAGTGCAACACAGTGAAATAGGAGAAATCTGAATTTTCCTCCTACACAAGCAGAACATGGTAACGCAGAGACAATATGCTCAGCCTCAGAGCATTTGGTTGAAGCAACTTATATCACTCGCTAGTGAAACAAGCAGCAACAGCCTTTCTTCCTCTCAGAGGGCATTACGTCACAGGAGAAAAAAGGGGAAATGTGAGGCTAACAGGGCAAACAAGTGCAAAATATACATTTAATATGTGTACCCACTGGTAATGCTCTCCACTACTATGCAAAACAACACTAGGGCTGGATTCATAGTCCCAGTCTCTTACTCGTTAGGCCAAGAGCAACTGAGAGTGTTTCCAGGACATACACTCAACCTGAGGGAGAATGGTATAGAAGTGCCTCATTGTTCTACAGTGACCCATACTGTTGATTAAAAGGTAATGTTGACACACTCCAAAAGAAGTCCTGTTCAAATCCTTCTGAGTCAGAAGGATGGCAGCTCCAGTACAGGGTGTCAATGAAGCCAGAGCTTTAATAGGAGGGAAAGAGATTGAATGATAAAAGATTTGACATGTAAGATTAAACCTCTGCTCCATTTAGCCCAATAATTTGGTCCCCACAGTGGCTAATAAGTGTACTTCAGAGAAAAGCTAAACCCTCAAAGTGCACCCAACTGATTGTGCACCACTGTACATGGAAAAGAAAAAAATCTTCATGACCCCTGCATGCAATCGGCTAATGTGCTGAAATGTAAGGTTTCATTATCTCGATCATAATAAATATACCCCAAACTGGTGTGTGAACTGAAAAAAAAAAATCAATGCCTACATTTGTGTTTAAAAAAACTGAAGCAGTTTTAGACTGAAAATAATAAAAACTGAATTAAAGCTGGGTACAAAACTACATCCTAGTAACGGGTTTCCCAATTGTCTAGGAACTGTTTATTTGTAAAGTAGCCCCCCCGTTATGTTTTATACTTCATATTTCATGAATAGAGGTTATTTTGGTCAGTTAATCATTTGTGGTCTCTGAAAGGGTTTTCCCCCTGTTTATATTCAACCTACCTGCCCATAGTTGTCTATGCCAGTTACTAATCTATTTAAGTTTAATAAATCAAAAGCTGTCCTTAGAGACTGGCCAAGAGTCGTAAGTCCTTCAGCTTGAAGGTTTTTCAATTCATTCATAAAGGTTGCATGGTTTTCTTTCCAGCCAGCCTGCAAAGAGAAAGGCAAGAATGCTTATCCTTCAGATGTTAGCTGTGTACAAGGGGAGCCTTTTCTGTTACAGGTTACAAAAATGGTGTCTTCCTCTCTTGCATGCATGGGGTTAAAAAATACCCCCCAAACTACCAACTCATCTTCCAAGTAACTAAGAACCTCTTCTATTCTGAAGGCTTCAAAGCCCAATCACCCCCCCCCCAAGCCTTTACCCCCCCCTTGTCCCCCACCCTGCAGAATATCAGGGTTTGGTTCCGCGGTCCAAAGAGTGAGCCTACAACTTACTGCGGGTCATTGGAATAACCAGAGCCTGGTCCACGGCAGCGGACGGGGCCGGTCAATGACCTACAGCAGGTTCCCTTCTGATGTGTCATGTGGAGGCTCCGGGTCTCCACGCACGACGAGGGGGAAGCGCCAGCCAAGGCTGCCCGGCCCGAAGCAGGTACCGCTCCTCGCCGCCCCTGGCAGCCGAACTCGCCTTGGAGTTGCTGTCACTTCTCCTAACTTGAATCAATATCCCCCACAGTCCACTGCTGCTCACACACCGCACAGGAAAAATGTCGGCCATGTTGATGTCAGCGCCGCCGCCGCTGCCAGAGCCTGTGTGTGCCTGTGCGGGGCGAGCTGCGCTGCGCCGCCGGGAGCGCGGGGGAGGGGCGGGCAGCCCGGCCCGGGGGAGGAGGGCGATTCACGGGGGTTACCTTGATCGCGTGGGGAGGCTCCTCGAAAGTGACCAGCATGTACCTGTCTCCTCTGCTGGCGGGGTCCCGGGCGCGGAGCTGCGGGCACAAAGCGCAGGGTTACCCGAGGGAGCCAGCAGCAGCGCCCCGCATGCGAGCCCCCGCCCGGCCCTCCCCAGCCCCGCGCCCCCGCCACCCGGGCGGCAGGGCGCCCCCACCCTCTCTCGCCGCTTGTCGCAGGCAGAGCCGGTACCTTCATGAAAGTCTCTACAGCGCCTTTGGCTATGTCCAGATAGGTGGTGCCCAGATGGGTGCGCTGGTTCATGGAGGCGGACGTGTCTATCAGGAAGAGTAAGATGGGCATAGTGCGGAGCAGCAGCGGGGCCGGCGGCTACATGGACGGGGGCGGGGGGCAGACACGGGGGACGGGCAGTAGGAGCTATGAGTGCTCTGCACCGGGAGGAGCGCCTCCCCGCCACCCCCCTCCAGGGAGCTGCCCTGCTCGCCTTTGTGTGAGGGGCCCGCTCGAGCCCTGCACGGGCTGCTTTATGAGAAGAAGGCGGACAGGGCTGCACGGCTGCTGCCGCCGCTGGCCCCCCTGTTGATGTTACTCAGAAGTTTCAGGCGGAGCAGCCGCGATCCACCCACCCCGGTACTTTCTCTCTCTGACTGAGGCGCTTCCTCGCTCGCAGCCCGCTTTTAAGGCAGCCTGGGCAGGTCGGGCGCCGCCCCTACAGGAACGTCCCCAAGCCACGTGACCGCTTCCCTGCCCCGCCATAGGACTTCCGACGACCCTTCATTAGCATATTTTAATCGTGGGGAAAGAGAAACGAGGCGGCTCTAGCCGTTAAGGGAAAGGCAGTTGATGAGCACGCGTTCTAGTGGTGCGCATGCGCGTTGCAGACGCTGCCCTGCCTCAGCGAGGGGGGGGGTAACAATGACATAGTAGCCCCGGCTGCCCTGCACAGGGAAGGAAGCAACCCATAGGAAAATGCTCAGTGGGGCTGGCTAGGCACTGTGGGGGGAAGTGGGGGCCCGCGAGAAGGGGGTGTGGGGAAAAGGGGGCCCGCAGGACGGGCCGCGAGGTTAGGGTGCGGGGAAGAGGGGGTTCGCGGGACAGGCCGCGAGAACGGGGTGTGGGGAAGAGGGGGCGCGAGAAGGGGGTGGGGAGGCGAGGGGGCGCGAGATGGGGGAGGGGAGAGGGGGCCCCGCGGGACGGGCCGCGAGAAGGTGGGGGGGAGAGGGGGGCCCCGCGGGACGGGCCGCGAGAAGGGGGTGGGGCCCGCGGCTGTTTATAGTGAGGTAGTTCTTGGCCGTCAGGGAGGTCGGTACAGCGACCCGGTACGGGACCGGATGCGGGGAGCTGAGGACCCAAGGATCGGCTCGGGAGTGACCTGTGGGGACGGGGCCCCAGTGAGAGAACAGAGGGAGCCGCTTGTCTGCAGGGAGGGGGCCAAGCGGGCGCTGGAGGCCCGGGAGGCAGCAGGGCCTGTCGCGGGGAGCCGCTCGCCTAGCGACGGCCGGGGCGGTGACTGCGCGCTGGCTTAGCAACTCGCTCGATCCGACCCCCCCACGACTCCCGAGTGAGTCACGGGGCGGCGCTTGCTGCTGTCTGCGAGCCGCTCCTGTTCCTGTAACGCAGGCGCCCAGAGCGTCTCCCTGGGGCTGCGGGAAGGCCTCGTTGGGATCCTGCCTGGCGGGGGCGGGCACAAGGGGTAGCCGGAACAGGGAGCGGGCGGGAGGCGTGCTCACGGGGGAGCTCCCGCTTGGCTTGAGCTACAGCGGGGGCTGGGACGGACGCCGCCCGCCCCCATTTTAGGGTCTGCAGGGACTGGGGGTGGGGGGGCGTTGCATTCTACGTGAGGAGGAGACTGTCTCATGGGAGGGTCAAGGGCGGAGGCTTTGCGGGGCGACTCCCCCATTGGTGTGGGGGAGGTAATTGCCAGGCATGGGGTGTTGCGGCCATGTGAGGGGGGAGGAGGAATTGGGACAGATGCTCTGTCTGAGGGCGGTGGGACACAGTATTGCAGTCTCTGGAGGAGTAGGCTGGGGCAGTTCTACTGTGTATCTTTCAGTGAGACCGGCTATACGTTCAGATTGCCACACCTTGAGACAGCATTGTATGCTTGGAGTGCTGTGGTTTTGACCTTAGAAGAATTGCACTTTTCTTCTGGTTGGATCCAGAGGTTCTAGAACTGGGGGTGCTGCATCCCTTGGCTTGAAGTAGTAATAACAACCAAATGCATGGTTTCTGCTTTTAGCACCCCCATTATAAAAAAATTGTTCCAGCTCCCCTAGTTGGATCTGAAATGTGACACTTAACTTGTCCAATAAAAACAAAACTGCCACCCCACAAATCACTCAGGGCCTACTCAAAGAACTTCAAAAACTAGCAAGATTTTGCTCCCATTTAGTTTAAAGAAGCCACGGCTGTGCTATTTCTCAGGTTAGGTAGGGCCACAAGATCTGAGGCCAGGCCACAGAAGCAAAGATATGACACTTCCTTTAATTTAAAGTGGTGAGTTAAACTAGTGTTCATACCAGAAGTTTAAGGTAGAATCATAGGACTGGAAGGGACCTCGAGAGGTCATCTAGTCCAGTCCCCTGCACTCACGGCAGGATTAAGTACTTGCAACCCAATCTGTTTTGTTTAGGGTTTTTAATGTATGAACAATTGTGAATAGTGCACAGGCAGAACCATCTCAATTATAAACTGCCAGGGGCTCAGAGTGTGCATCTTACAGTTTGTCTAGTGGTGGAGGTTAGGGGGTGCATTTTGGCTAACCTCAGTCTAACCTCTTCTCAATCTTTCCTCAGTCAGTACTGAGGCAACCTAAACTTACTTCCAATAAATCATATACTGCTGGGGCTGCTTCCAATCAATCAGTGCAGGGTTCCCACCAGTATGCTGGACCCCTCTGCTCCCATCTCTTTCTCCAGCAATTGGGCCTCTTGCTTTTCCTTTCTATTCCCCTACCCTTAAAGAAGTAGGAAATCAGAGGTTTCTTTTCTCTTCTCACGTGGGAATTTAGCAACAGCTCAGGGGCTGCTCTGTTCCCCACCTCATTTTCCCTTCCTGTGAAAAATGTACTGGTTCCAGTTGATCTGCTCCCACCACTCCCAAAGAACTAGAAGCTTAGGAGTTGCTATGCTCCTTCCTTTCTTACCTCCAGAAAAGAAGACAGGAGTTCCCAGCCTTATTCAGCTCACTTCCCAGGCTCATTTCAAGGTAAAACATGGCTGCTTACTGTAACTGGTTCTTTGAGGTGTTTTGTCATAGAATATCAGGGTTGGAAGGGACCTCAGGAGGTCATCTAGTCCAACCCCCTGCTCAAAGCAGGACCAATCCCCAACTAAATCATCCCAGCCAGAGCTTTGTCAAGCCTGACCTTAAAAACCTCCAAGGAAGGAGATTCCACCACCTTCCTAGGTAACCCATTCCAGTGCTTCACCACCCTCCTAGTAGGAAAAAGTTTTCCTTACTATCCAACCTAAACCTCCCCCACTGCAACTTGAAATCATTACTCCTTGTTCTGTCATCTGGTACCACTG